ATCCAGAGAAAGCTTCCCAGGGAATCTTGGGGGGTCAAGGAGGGCCTGTTGGGGCCCATGCCAGCTGAGCACCTAGGAGGGCCACTTCTAGGGAAAGGTGGGGGCGAGAGCAAAAGGCCCTGTGAGAAAGGCCCTGCCCACATGGCTTGCTTCCAAGTGCAGGTTCCCATAGCTGCAGGGGGATGCCTGACATCCCCTTTCTCTGCAGTTCTGGGCTGACATTCAACCTCCGCCGTGCAAAATGGTCGCTACCTCTTCAGTGGAAGGTCCACACAGTGCACAGGAGTAGAATCAGTGCAGAAGCGAGTTCTGGGCTCCCCCATCTGATCTCCTTCTGGCCCACAATTATTTGTGCTTGAGGGTGCCTTGAAGCAAGCAGTCGTTTCATAGACCAACAATGCCTGGCCAAGATCATGGAACTGCTCTCATACAATTAAATTTTCTAGACTGTAGTCACAAGTTGTCTATAAACACAATGCCATCTTAATTAAGTTTGCTCTCCAAGGGGTAAAAAGCACCCAGACTCCAAACAGTATGGGTAGAACCACTGGCTTGTTCACAAAGGCTCTCGCAATAACGTGGAGCCCTTTCTTAGGAAAAGTATCCACTCAGAGGGGGGCTTGGCCTTACTTTCAGAGCTTTTACAGACCCTCAATGAGCATGATAATGGAGGACTTTGGCGAGGCTCAGAAGAGATAAGGACAGTAACAGATGGTGCGGAGTCCATGCCCGGCTACAGACTGCAGAGATCCTCATCCCGATTGGGACAATAATTGCTTCACTGGGTCATCACTTTGAAAACTAATGTGGTGGGGGGAGCACAGGCAGCCGGCTGTGAATTCCAAGCAGGAGTACTCAGAACTGCTCCTGTGCAGCAGGCAACACCTAGAGCCAGAGGGCCCCTTGCCCCAGCAGGAGGGCACCCCAAGAGCAAGTCTTCTTTCCTGACCTGGAGTGTGGGGCTGGGAATGTCCCGGTAAGCCCCGGGCCTGGGGCTGCCCCAACACCCAGCATCCTTGCTCGTGGTGGTGGCCACCGCTGGGGAGGACTCACTCCCCAGCACCTGTGCCAGTCCCTGAGGGAAGCCCCTTCTCCGCTGAATCCTGTTTTGTCCTCCCACTCTGGGAGGTGGCCATTACTGTCCTCATTTGACAGACAAGGAAACTTAGGTGAAAGGGAGATGAAGTAATGTGGCCAAGCCTCAGGCCTCGGCCAGCCCAAGACAGCCTGTCCTGGACGGGCCTTGGCAAGACCTGAGCTTGGGATCTTTCTGGAGCTTTGTGGTGGGCAATGCATAGGTCAGGCCAGATACCCTCCCCAAGCCTGAAGCCCCCCTGTCCTGTCTTGACACCCCTGCTCCACCAGGCACCCAAGCTGCTTCTAGGTGTTGGTATCATCTGGGTGACCTATGGGAACACCTTGGAGCTGCGCCAAATTCTGTGCAGTTTTGTTTGTGTGCTTGTTTGTCTGGTCAACTGATACTAATGCAATGGTGATAAAGCTAGCCAACAATGTGTGTTATATGCCAGCTGCTGTCTTATATGATCCTCCTCATCGCCCTTTGAGCTAGATACTGATATAATCCTCATCTCATGGGTGAGGAAGCTGAGGTCTCTACAGCAAGCCACTGAGGAGAAGGACAGCCTGGAACCCGGGGGTCCACGCTTTCAATTCCTGTGCTTTCACAGTCATCGTCAGAAAACCCAGTTCACAGCAAACTGCTACTTCAGGGACAAATTATTCAAATACCGAAAGGATCTTTTACTTTGGGAAAAGATTCACCTCGAGTTTGTGTGAACATCCTTACTTCCTTTAAAATGTGATCTGATTTATGGTGTTCGGGGTCCTGCTGTGACTGGATGGGAACCTCTGTCTGCCTCTGGGTGCCCTCAGCTGCTGCCCCGCTAGCCTTCCCTGCAGGGAAGGAGGCCAACTCCACCCTGAGCCTGGGACCCTGGGCCACTGCCAGCGATGCCCGGCTCTGCCCTAGTTGAACTTTGGCTTCTACCCTCGGAGATGGGTCCAGATTCCGCTTTGGGCCCACACTCAGGCCCAGACCTGCTTGGTGACCTTGAGTGGGCAGCTCAGCTTCTCGTGCTCTGCTGGAGGTAACCCTGGCTACAGTGCCTCGCCCTTGCTGGGGTTCCCAGGCATATCTAATTAACGATGTAAAGCACTTAGAGACATAAGTGCTCAATGACCAGGACCCATAAATTACCAGGATGGAGCCCTGAGTGTTATGATACTTCACCTGTGCTTATTCTCAGTAATGAATAATTATCTTCTCAGACCCACAGTCAAACTCCACATCCAAATATCTCCCACCCCAAGCCTGGGGGAGTCACTGACCCTGGCTGCTGAGCTTCTCAAAAGGTCATAGGCAACAACCACATGTGCTATTTGGTCTTTGGACACTAGTCTAAAAAAATTACTCTATAAGGTATATGTGGGAAAATGGGAATGTAGTCAGTGTATTAGATGGTGTGACGGTACTATTAACTTCATTCGGTATGATTATGGCTGTGAAGGTTAATTTTCTGTCAACTTGACTGGGTCACCAGGCACTCAGACATTTGGTCAGACATTATCCTGAGCGTATCTGTGCAGGTTTTTGGATGAGATTAACCTTTGAATAGGTAGACCGAGTAAAGCAGATGGCCCTCTCGCATGTGGGTGGGCCTCATCTGATCAGTTGAAGCCTGAAAAGAACAGAGGCTGATCCTCTCACTGGGGAAAGGGTCCTCGTGCCTACTTGTGTGAGCAGGGACACTGGACACTTCTGGGGACATTGGCACTTCTGGGGATTCGAGCCTGCTGGTTTCAGCCTGGGGCTCTCCTCTCAGTTCTCCTGGGTCTGCAGCTTGCCAACGGCAAATTGCAGGACTTCTCAGCCTCCATAATCAGATGAGACAATTCCTTATAATAAATCTCTTTCTTTGTAGCTGCATGCATCCTGTTGGTTCTGTTTCTCTGGAGAACACTAATTCATATAATGACATTATGATCATGTATATGCACGACCTTATTTTTTGGAGGTACATAATTGAAATAGTTATGAGTGAAATGTCATAATGTCTGTAATTTATTTTTAAGTTATTCAGGAATGAAAAACAGGTGAAACAAATATGACAGGATGTAAACAGTTAAGTCTAGCTGATCAGCATAAGGCTGCCCATTATACTGTGCTACACTATACATTTTACTATATATGCCCACTGTACTCTCCCTTCTACTTTTCTGTATATATGTTTTCATAATATAAAATTTAAAAACAAAACACATGCATGCCATGGTGATGAGGAGATATGATATGATGATGAGACCTGCTCTGGCCAAGGGCACCATTCTCCCTCATAAACAAAAGGCTGAGGGAGGTGACCAGTCACTCAGAAAGCACAGCCTGGCAGGGGCTGGAAATGGGGGGTGAGGGGCCTCATGCCAGGTCACAGATTGGAGAGAACAGACACCCAACAAACAGACCTAAATATGTGTAAAGATTCAGCACAATAGTAGCTGATTTCTTGTTCACATAATAGCCTAAAGCAAGGGTCCCAGGCAGGTGGACAGCATTCCTACACACCATGATTCAGGGACCCAGGATCTTTCTATCTGTGGCTCCTCTCTCCTTGGGCTTTGTGGTGGTCAGCTAATGAAAGAAGAAAGACTCTGGACCTAGAAGCAATCCACTTCCCTTTCATTCACATGCTATTGTCAAAAAAACTGGTCAAAAAAAGGAACTAGGCACACAGCCATGCTTAGATGCACGGAATGGAAGTAGGGAGTGGGAGTGGGGCTGGAAAATGTCCCTGGATGGGCTTTCCAGCCGCTGCTCTTTGCTATAGCCAGGGAGGGTGGGTCTTAGTGGGCAGCCAGGCAGCTCTGCCACATGTGGCCTAGGCTTAGTTGTTGATCGACTGTGACAGAGAGAGTCCCTGTAGTTGAGAGGAGGTGGTGAGTCCCCTGGAAGAGACAGAACCAGTCAAGGGGAGCCCCAGCTCTGGGCCTAGCCCTGTGCTCACATGTGCTGCTGGGGACCATAAAAGAGGCAGGGAGGCCCCAGCCTCTAGGAACCCTCATGGCTGCTGGAACTCTGATGCATGAAATCAGCTGGCATCAGCCCGGGGCAGGGGCTAATTAAATGCCACCTGGGGCCTGGTGCAAAGATGAGGGTGTACATTTTTTGAGGAAAGGAACCATATCTGCAGATTGAGGACTGAATCCTCGGTGCTGGGCACAGGGACTGGTATAATGCCAAACCTCACGAGATCTCCACCCATTCAAACAAACTGCCTGCAGGAGATGGGGCAGAAAAGGCTGAAGGGGTGGCCCTGAGTGTTTTGGAGGTAGGAAGTTAAATAAAGGCCTGGGGCAGAACCAAATCATCAAGTGCGATGAATAGGGGCAGCTTCTGGCCAGAGGGTAGCAGGAGTGCTGGAGAGCTCTGGGAAGCTGACTGGGCTCTTTTGCTCTATGACACTCATCATTGGCAGTTATATATTTATTTCCATGCTCACTTCTTTGGAATCTGCTCCTGCACCAGACTGAGCCCCCTGAGGGCAGAGGCCGACTCATCCTAGGCGCCACTATGTCCTCAGGGCCCTGGGCAGACCCAGGCCTGTGCTAGGTGCTCAATGAATGAATGCATGAGTGAATGAATGTCAGGCCAGCTGGTGGGGCAGCAAGCGACTGTCTGCACCACGAGGCTGCCCAGGGGAGGGAGGTATCCCCCTACATGTGTGGAGCTGGACTTGATTGCCAGTCTGAACTTCTTTTGTTTACTCACTGATTGAACATTTACTGTGTCCCACCAAGGGGCCTCAAGAGGCCTGTGAGTTTTCCTTCTCCATAAAAGCAAACTCTTATTTGTCTTAAATGACCTTATTTACCTCACAATGGATCCCATCCTGGTGCCCATACTGTCTCCTACCTCCCTGCACCCCTGGAAGCGTGGCCTGCTATGGGTAACCCTCCAGGTCTCCCGAGAAAATACAGGGACTTACCCGGTAGTGACTAGGGAACAAGGGGAAGCCAAGGAATCTGGGGTTCCTCTGGGGACCTCCGCTGCCATAAGGCATCCCTCAGGGGATGTCTGACCCAGCTGTGAGCCTCTGATCTGCTCTCTCATCTCTAGAAAGCAAATGTGGGAACGTGATGTGTTTAGGAATCATTTTTCACTTTAATTAGAAAACATATAGTCAAACATTCATGATACTTGCAAGGGGGTCACTTATACACAAACTTATTCAATCAAAATATGGCTGTGCCCTCTCTGTGTTGGGGGTAGGACTGTGTTGTCCCCCACATCCCTCTGGGCTGGTCAGTGAGGAAAACACCCTGCAACTACGTTCAGCCAGGCTGGCCTCTGGACCAGGCCCTGCAGCCGGCTTTGCCATTGGGCCAGGGACTCACAAGCCTCTCTCCTCTCTGACAATGGACTTTCTTTGATATCCATTTATCCTTGTATTGATTATGCTATAAACCCACACAGCACTCTGCTCCCAGGCCAGAGGGAGAAACCTCCATTGATTAGATTGGAAGAAGGTTTGTTGTAAAAAAGCAAAATGCCTAAAACATCAAAATGAGGTAAGCTTTTTGAGGGTCCATAAATCACGCAGGATAATACCTCAGATGAACAGGGCTTCTTAAACACCCGGAAAATACGACACCATAAAGCAGTTCTGACAAGAAAATCACAGCCCCTCTCTCTCTGTAGCTGCCATTTGAAAAGCACCATCAATAATGGTTATTGCTGTTTGGTAAGCAAAACAGGGAAGTTGTGTCAGTCTCCTTTAGAAAGTTCCCTCAAAGTCACTTTGTCCAAATGGCAGCGTGGCATTTTTTCATGCAGTAAATACATCCCAATTATGAGCATGTCATGTTAGCTTTTACAGTTCACTGATCACAAACTTCTTTGTATGGCATTGCCGACCAGCAGCTTTCCTTGATAGGGATTCACAGTTCTGCCGGGCTGCTGGTGGAGATCGGGAGGGTCAGAGCAGTGCTGCTGGAGGGCCCAGCTCAGCCCAAGGGCATTTCCTCCTGCCCCTCCGGGGTCTGAAGGCCTGGGCTCTGCGTGTCCCAGGGATGGGGTTTGGCGGCTCCTATGGACTACTCTGGACTCCCCTCATTCCCATAGCCCTGGCCACAGATCCCACTTAGGTGCCCTGGCCTGGCTCATTTCTGAGGACCCACCCCAGAGGCTCCGCCCCACACAGGGTGCAGAAACACTCAGCAAAGCTGACGCCAGGCACGCCTCGACAGGATTAGCTTGGGCTCTTTTCGCAGAGAAACACCGAGCCCGCAAGGACCCATCTCTTTACTGGGTCAGACCAGGCAGCCGCCAGGGTGGGTTTGCCACAAGCCTGCCTTCTTGACCCTTTGCAGCTCAGCACCAGGCCCTGCAACCGATACCCCTCACCACATCTGTCAGGCGTTCTGGGCCTCTCGGCACCAGGCCTTCTCCCAGGTGCTTTCTGGCTCTCCAGCTCCCACTGGCTTTGCAGTTTGACCCGTGAGCCTGAGCACCCAAACATTTTCAGATCTAGCAGGAGAACGTACAGCTCTAGACCAGCACAGGGGTGTCATCTCAGTGTCGCCCCTGGGCCCAAGGCCTTCTGGGTTACCTCTCCAGTTCTGTGGCCCTGGGTACACGGACCAGAGAACAGGCGAGGTAGTCCAGTACCAGGTGCCCTTCTGCACCGCAGAGAGCTGTCGGGCTAGGGTGGCAGCCCCCAGAGCAGACTACCCCACACCTGGGCGGGGGCTGTGTCAGCCATTCTGCAGACCACAGCAACCACCACAGAGCCACGGCCACAGCAGCAGCCATCAGCAACACGGGGCAGAGCTGGGCCCAGGCCTTGGGGGGATCCGAGCAGTGACTCCAGTTATACTGGAAGCGTGAGGCGATCCAACACCTCCCTGGTTCCCCAGGTTACCTGCTGCGATGCCTTTCCAGCTTCACCTCCCAGCAGGGCACTGGGCCCTGGCAGGCAGGGCCCTGACTCGGTCTCCCCTGCCGGCTCCAGCGCTTCTTAGGCGTTTCCTGCCAGGTCCAGGCGTTGAGGAAGCTCACTCAGGGCCAGGAGCATTGGGCATCTCTGGTCTCCAGGGCAGAAAAGTGACTCTTTGCCGTGCAATTTTTCTGAAAAGGACACAGAACAAGAGTCCCCTTCTGGGCCAGGAGAGAAGGAACCCGGGGGCTTGGGGCTGCAACACGTGGGGCAGCTCCCCCACTGCACACCCTCTTCTTCCCTCCCAGGGCCACCTCACATGTCTCCCTGGCTCTCCTGGGGAGGACACCGTCTCGGCCTCTCTCCTCTGTCCCCCAGGGCACGGGCACCCCAGTCCTCGGGGCGGGGAGGCAGTCAGCCACGCTCTTCAGCCTCAGGTGCAGGCAGCATGGGATCTGTGTCAGGAGGAACGCTTGGCACAGGAATGCGTCTTGCCTGCCCTCAAATGCAGTTTTTCTGCCTCCTTTAATATTACCTCAAGGCTTGGGGCCAGTTCTGCCTTGTTCAGGCCTCGGGGCTGAGGCAGAGCTCATGTTTTGGGCAGTACCCCATCCTCCCAGTTCCAGACAGAGGGAGCGGCTGCTGTGTGAGACTGGGTCTGGACCATGATCATTTGTGACTTGTATTAATATTTACAACAATAATATTTTTCATGGGTAAAGTTCCTTTTTTTCTTCACTGCAGGAAATGAAATGCAAATGAACACCTGTAAAGATTATGACATAATGAAATAGGACATAAATGATGAAGAACTAATGAATTAAGTGGCTTCAAGGCCTGGGGGGACAATGTCCTTCAAACACAAAGATGGAGACAGAGCAAGAGATTAATAGCACAGGGAGTGGGGCTCGGGGGCCCAGGTCTGGATGGGCCCCTCCCAGGGCCACGCGCTGTCTGTTCACACAGACGCTTTTGTCAAAACAAAAACCGAAAACAAACAGGAGCCCTTCTTGACTCCATCTCCCTCCAGCCCCTCAGGTGCCTTCATCCCAGCTCTTAAAGCTTCCCAGTTCTCTTGAATCTCTCACTCTGACTGTTCCTGGGTTCAGCAGCTCATCCTCCTAACGTCATTCCCCAGCGCTCCCGGGAGGTTCAGCCTCTCCAAGTCCACCTGTTGCAGTCCTTGGTGTGGTAACTACAGGTACAGCCTGCAATTTCCCCTCTCTAAAAAATTTAAATGAAGAAAGAAAATAATAAAAATAACATTCTAAATTAATAAACATTTAAGATAAGAATTAATAATAATATCATAAATTTTTTAAAAATATAAAAAACTAAGCAAGTAATAAGCCAGCAAATAAAAGAAAAAATCCTTGCCTGTGATTCTCCATTGCCTTCCCCTCAGTTCCCCTTTGTTCAGCCTCAGAGAAAGATGACTGCTGTAAGCTGCCCCTGTGGAAAGAAGACTCGGTGCCACATGGATAGGTGCTCCCCTTGGGGCAGGGAGGAGCCTCAGAATGGCAGCGCAGAGTGCGCCCCTCACGGGTGCTGTCAGTATGCAGGCATTATCACTTTGGCCAGAACTCTTGTTTGCAAATGACAGATATCCAGCACAAACGGGACAAGCAAACCTGGGAAACTAAGTCCCAGGGGTTTCAGGCATGGTTGGATCCAGGGCATAAGTTATGTCACCCAGGCTCTGTCTCCCTCTGTGTCTCAGGGGTTTTGTTTCTGTGCTGGCTGTGCCACCAACAGCCAGCCTCACCCCCAAGCTCAGCACCATGAAGCAGAAGAGAATTTGCTTCTTATTCTTTGTGAGTCTAATAAGAGCCCGGAATATACTCCAAGTAGACTGGGTTGGATCACGTGCCTGAAGCAGGCACTGTGGCCAGAGGAATGGAAAACCCTCAATGGTCCTCCTCCTTAAAATGTGTGTCCTTGCCGAGCCCTTTTCCCCTTTCCCACGGCTTACCATCGCCAGCTCGGAACACAAGCTTGGGCCTCTTCTTCCACCAACCACCACCCACTTGTGATATTGTTCCATCTCCCTCTGCTGACCTTCCCAACTTTACATCACAGCCCAGATTCACCCTGAGCTCCAGGCTCACTTGCCTGCCTCACTTGGTCCCCCCGCCGTCCATTCTCAGCACAGAGGGCCCTGCACACAAGAGTGAGGCATCACCGCCTCTCGGCTCAGACACCCCAGCAGCTTCCGGCCTCCCCGGCAGTCCCCTCACTGCCCCTCCTCCAAACCCTCTCCCCCTTTCCTCTGGTTGCAGCCCCCCCGCTGCTCTTCAAACTCACCCTCCGGCTCCTGCCGCAGGGGCTGGTGCCTCCAGGGCCTGCATTCCAGGTGCTCTCACCAGACCGCTGAGTCTTTTTCTCACCTCCTTCACTCAAATGTCACCTTCTTGGCCTGTCACCCCATTTCAATTCCCACTGCACATACGTCCATCTGCCTGCTCACTTTTATTTTTCTGCCATCCACTCCTAATCTTCTAGCACAGTCATTGTTGTTCTTTCCCTGCAGGAGCAGGGCTAGTTGCCTGTCTGTTCGCTGCTTTACCCCAGCACCTAAGTAGTATTTGCCACCTAGTAGGTGCTCAACAGGCATTTGCTGACTTGGGCCTAAAGCAGTCATGGGGGTGGAGAGGCCCTTCTGAACCCTACAGACTGAGAGTGAAGGGGGAGGTTTCCCAGGGCAGGGCCTGCTCTGAACCTCATGGCAGAGTGGGTCCCCGTCCTCAGGGTGGGCATCCACATCCCCACACTCAGGGTCCCCTCCGCAGCCTGGCCTTCCTTGCAATTCCCTGACCCAATGCACTGTGCAAAGCAAAGAGTGTGGAATTTGGAGCTGCAAGACCAGGACTGTGTGCCCTGGGGCAGGTAAACCTCGTCCTTCTGCAAGCGGCAGTTCTCACTGTTAGGTCAGCTCAGGCTGCTGCACCAGAATACCACAGCCTGGGGGGCTTAGGCAAGACCCTTCTCACAGTGCCGGGGCTGGAGGTCTGAGCTCAGGGCACCAGCATGGCTGGCTTATAGTGAGGGCTCTCTTCCTGGCCTAGAGATGGCCTCCTGTGCATTGCGTCCTCACATGTGAGGTGGAGAGAAAGCTCTGCCCTCTTCCTCTTCTTGTAAGGGCACTGATCTGAGCATGGGGGCCCCACCTTCTGACCTCATCTAAACCCAATCACTCCCAAAGACCCCCTCCTAACACCATCACGTTGAGAGGTGGAGCTTCAACATACAAATTTGGAGAGATGCAATCACTAGCCCATCACACCCTTCCCGAAAACACCAAATGGAGGTGAAGGTGCTTTGTGACGGTCCATGCCCCAGTGGACAGCGAAAGAGACACCCTCACCGTTTCTCTTTGCTAGCTCTCACCTGGGCCCTGGCACCTCCCTCGATGAGCTCTTCAGAGCTCTTCTCTAGCTCTGGTGGCCTGTTTACAGTCATTAGGCCCCAAACTCCCCACTGGCCCTTCCCAGCCTAGCAGGGTGGCCCCACCCTCCAGCCAAGCACTGCACAGCGCAGCCTGCAGCCCTCAACGCAACGCGCAGCCCACACAGCCCAGGCCCAGGTCTGGACGTGTGCTTGGAGATGGAGCGATGCTGTTTCAATGTAGAGGCAGATGCTCCTGTGGCCCAGGGAGGCCCGCTCGGGCCATAAATCCCGGCCGATGGCCTCCCTCTCTCTCAGAGGCCGGAGAAGTCTCGCGCAGGGAGCCATGGAGCTGCGTGGGTGGGTGACAGGCTGGGTACACGGCCCCCCAGTGCCTCCTCACCAGGCAGCCTGAGCAGATGAGTCCTTACAAACATGGATTCCATTTTCATACAAATGTCTGTGGTTGTGGCAAATACACGATAGGGAGACAGAAATGTGACATAAAAGCCAAGTCAATTCTGCAGAAGATGTCTCCTGGTGTTTGGGGGCTTCTGAGAGCCATGTTAGCCACCTGTCAGAAATGGTGCTGGAACCAGATGGAGCTCTTCGGAGAAGCATCAAACAAGTTGGAGATGCATCTGCATGGAGACAAATAATGTGATCAGGCCCAGGGAGCTGCGGGTTGGGGCAGGCAGGGCTGTTCAGGAGAAGCAATAACAACTGCGGACGGCACCTCTCAGCCCTAGGAGGGCAGCTGCCCCCCAGAAGTCGTGCTTTTGGAGAGATGCAATCACTAGCCCATCACACCCTTCCCGAAAACACCAAATGGAGGTGAAGGTGCTTTGTGACGGTCCATGCCCCAGTGGACAGCGAAAGAGACACCCTCACCGTTTCTCTTTGCTAGCTCTCACCTGGGCCCTGGCACCTCCCTCGACGAGCTCTTCAGAGCTCTTCTCTAGCTCTGGTGGCCTGTTTACAGTCATTAGGCCCCAAACTCCCCACTGGCCCTTCCCAGCCTAGCAGGGTGGCCCCACCCTCCAGCCAAGCACTGCACAGCGCAGCCTGCAGCCCTCAACGCAACGCGCAGCCCACACAGCCCAGGCCCAGGTCTGGACGTGTGCTTGGAGATGGAGCGATGCTGTTTCAATGTAGAGGCAGATGCTCCTGTGGCCCAGGGAGGCCCGCTCGGGCCATAAATCCCGGCCGATGGCCTCCCTCTCTCTCAGAGGCCAGAGAAGTCTCGCGCAGGGAGCCATGGAGCTGCGTGGGTGGGTGACAGGCTGGGTACACGGCCCCCCAGTGCCTCCTCACCAGGCAGCCTGAGCAGATGAGTCCTTACAAACATGGATTCCATTTTCATACAAATGTCTGTGGTTGTGGCAAATACACGATAGGGAGACAGAAATGTGACATAAAAGCCAAGTCAATTCTGCAGAAGATGTCTCCTGGTGTTTGGGGGCTTCTGAGAGCCATGTTAGCCACCTGTCAGAAATGGTGCTGGAACCAGATGGAGCTCTTCGGAGAAGCATCAAACAAGTTGGAGATGCATCTGCATGGAGACAAATAATGTGATCAGGCCCAGGGAGCTGCGGGTTGGGGCAGGCAGGGCTGTTCAGGAGAAGCAATAACAACTGCGGACGGCACCTCTCAGCCCTAGGAGGGCAGCTGCCCCCCAGAAGTCGTGCTTCCCCTGTCCCCATGCTCCCCACTGCCCCCAAGGCACCCACCCTCCCAGGGGGCCCAGCCACCCTTCCCGAGAGGAGCCCAGGAGGATTTGTTGCCAGATCGGGGGGCTCTATGCCTGAGGTTTCCGCCCCCCGCCCTCGTCTCCTCTGTGTTCATCTGAAAGGGGTGAGTGACAGCTGTTCCTATAAGGAAGAAAACAAAGAATTGAGGGCACCCAAGTTGTCTACTGCAGGACATTTATTTATTACTAGAAACAAAGGGAGGGAGAGAAGGAGGCTTCTAAGGTTCAAAGCCCCAGGGAAACACCTGCTCATGGCAGTTAAACGGGCCCCCTTACTACAGGGCTTCGCAGAGGTCCTGATCCATGCGTGTGTGACACACTCCCTTTTATCCACTGCGAGAGGCACCAGAGTTTGCAGATTTTTCACAAAACTTCCTGAGGGCCTGTAGTTCTTAGGATGCGTTTTGGAAAACACGGGATGAGCCAGCTGTTTTCTTTTTCAATGTCAAAATTAATAAGTACTATTTTGGCACTCCTCACAGACCCAGGCTACCAGGCAGGGCCTCCAAGCAGGAGAACCAGGTTCCTTCACCAGCCCTATCCCAAACTTGATCATTGTAAGCCTGTCATTTCAGCCTATGCAGCCTCAGTTTCCCCATTGGGGACATGGTGATCATAACACCTGCTCTACCCTCCTTATGCCTGTGAAGTTGCTTTGAAGAAGTTTAAGGCACTGTGAGTATACAGTATTGATTATTGTTTTATTTTGAAGAAAAGCATTTGTGCCCTCCTGTCCCCTTCCACACGGAGCTGAGCTCACAGTCAGTATGTGTCTCTGTAAAGCAACAATCGTTTTCTTGTTCATTAGTTCAATAAATATTTTCTGAGCACCCTCTATGTGCCAGGCATGTTCTAGGCACTGGGGGCACAGCAGTGAGCCAAAGAGAACAGTCTCCTGCCCTCTGAGAGCTTACAGTTCAAAGTGGACACACACAATGAGAAAACCATGCAAGTAAATAAATGGTGTATCAAGGCAAATACGGTCTGAACTCTAAAGGAGATGGAGGATTTTCCTTTTTTTTAATATAAAGTTGACATATAATATTATATTAGTTGAGGTGTACCACAGAGCGGTTTCATGATT